AAAAAGAAAATCTGGCCTCAAAATTGGGCAGACCTAGGATCCGATGTTGACTCTTGCCATGTTATTAGTGTTAGTGTCGTGCCGGGTTACTAGCCGTGTCGTCTTAGTGAATTAATAAACCTCTCTGAGCCTGTTTCCTCCTCTAAGGACAATCCCTAGTATGTCATGTGGCTACTGTGAGAGCAAGTGATGGAACAGATGGAAAGACCAGAGTGAGCTTAATAAACTTGTTAATAGTATCATTATGTATAATTATATTATACTATCCTGGTATTAATATATCATTTATATTCTTTGCTGTTACTCTTTCTCTTTCCATTCATGTATCCAACCACCAAGTGACATCTTTGCTTGGAATATCTAATGGGCATCGACAAGTTAAAACCTAACTCCGGATTCCCTGCCCCCGACCTCCTCCTCCCAGTCTCCTCCTCTCAGGAAACAGCAAACCCCAGCCTTCCAGCGGCTCAGCTCCGGCTCCGTGGCTTTCTTACCCAATGGCCCATCTGTCAGCACTCTGTTGCTTCTAGTTTCAGAATATATCCAGAACCCCACTTCTCCCCCACCCGTTCTCACCTTGTTCCAGCCACCCTCCTCCTCAGCCTAAACTAAGGCAGCGGTTCCTCATTGGGCTCCCTGCCGTATCCCCACCTCTTTAGTTTCCTCCCACAGAGAAGCCCTGCGAACACCTGAGTTAGGTCACATGCCTCCTGTGTTCAGAACCTTCTCACGGCTCCTCCTGCACAGAGCTAAAGCCAGAGTCCTCACCGTGGCCCGAGGACCTGCACAATCTGCCTCCGGCTTTTCCTTGACCTTGTCTCCTCCTTATTCCCACCCGCTCCTACCCGCGTGAGTCTCTTGGTCGGTTCTCTAAAATGCTAGTCGTGCTCCCACCTCAGGACCTTTGCACTAGCTGTTCCCTCAACTTGGAATTCTCTTCCCTCAGATGTCCTTACGGCTTATTCCTTCCCATCTGCTCACAAGTCATCTTAGGAGCAAGGCCTTCCCTTCTACCTTATATTACATAGCAAGGACCAACCCCTCTTCTCCTTCACCGCCTTGTTTTTCTGGCCATATTTCAATATACCACATCATTTACATATTTATTTTCTGGCTCCCTGCTGGTTTGTCAGCTCCATGAGGGCAGGGACCCCGTTCGCTGCTGTGTCCCAGTACCTAGAACTGCGTGGAGCCCCTTGTGGGTGGAGATAGTGAATGATCACAGGTGGGAGACACTGATGCAGAAAAGGGACATGATTTTAGAGGTAACGGTGGGGGGCAATGGAGAGTCAGACAGGCTTGCATCAGAATCTGGGCTCACCTGTTAATCTGCCCTGAGTACTCAGGCAAGGGACTTAGTTTCCAAATCTGCAAAATGGGGGAATAAACCTGTCCCTCCCAGCATCGGTATCAGGAAGACTAAAGGACTCAGGCTAAGCACCCAGCACACTATCGGAAGTGCTGTTGGCCCTTGGTGAAATTTCTCCCCTTTTTCTGAAGTCCCTAGGGCATTGATGGCCATACACAGACTAGAATCCAGACCTTCCACGCCCAGTCTTTCTCTCACACTCCCTGAGCCTCTTGCATTCAGGTACGTGGATACCAGGGCGAGGTGCCAGCTGAGGAGCTAACGTGGAAGGAGGAGGAACACGTGCCTCATGCTATGGGGCATTTGTATAGGGGCATCTGCAAGGTATGGACAGGAGTTGGAGAGGCTGGCTCTGTGTAGCAGAGCAAGGGGCCAGTCACAGTGCAAACGCTCTGCTCAGGAAGGCACAGTCACAGGGTGGTGGTGGGGAGGAGACCTTACCAAAGATCTGATCATAACGCAGACGAGTCTTAGCTCCTTCCTGGTCATGCAGGGTGAACTCTGTCCTGGCCTTGGACTCCCTTAGGCAGCATGTCCTGCTTCTGGTTAGCATCCCGGGTGGGAAATTGTGCTTTATCCCCAGCAGAAACCTGCCGGTTTGGGGGCGCCTGGGTGGCGCAGTCGGTTAAGCATCCGACTTCAGCCAGGTCACGATCTCGCGGTCCGTGAGTTCGAGCCCCGTGTGAGGCTCTGGGCTGATGGCTCAGAGCCTGGAGCCTGTTTCCGATTCTGTGTCTCCCTCTCTCTCTGCCCCTCGCCCGTTCATGCTCTGTCTCTCTCTGTCCCAAAAATAAATAAACGTTGAAAAAAAAATTTTTTTAAGAAACCCGCCGTTTTGAACACTTGCCTCTAGTGCCTGCTCTGTGCTGGGAGAGCTCTCAGCTAGGTGGGCTAAGAACCCGCATGATCTCCCTTGTGCTTTCTCCCTTGTCTCCTCCTCCTCCCCCCCCCCCCTTATTCCTGGGGGTTCCCTCCTCAGGAGGCTAGAGGGTCTGGTGATCAGGCATGTGGATTGAGAGTCACATGGCCTGGGTTCAAATTAATTCAATGGCTCAATGACATCTATGAACCTCTGTTTTCTTCTCTGCAAACGGGGATCACACGGTTACCTACCGCATAGGGTTGCTGGGCTGTAACATGGCAAGCAAACGGTCTAGTACCGGTACTCAGTAAATACAAGTTCACAGTCACGTCTCGGAGGTTAGGCACTACCAATGGCTCACAAAGGCAAAACTCATGTGTGGGCAGAGTAATCCTTGAAAATCCCTTAAACTGCCCATAAATCCGAAAATACTAGGATTTTCGTGGACCACAGTGAAGACCCGACCCCACCCACCTCCCCCGGTCCCACTCCAAGTCCACCTCACTATCGTGTCTTGGGCTCACGTCAGATGAGGCCTCAGGCGTGTGCCCATGGGCGGGCTGAAGAGGAAAACACGTTGTTTACCACTCTCGGCCAGACTCCCGCGCTGCTGCTCGCTGCTCACTGCTCGAGGCCGACCGAGGGCACACTTGCACCTTCTTCACCACTGCTCTTGCTTGCCCTGGGGGCCTGGAAGATGAAGCCTCCTGTGCTGCTTCCCGTTTGGGCCTTGGAGCCTTCTGGGATTAGAGAGAACTCAAACTCATCACGTTAGGACATTTTGGTCTCCGTGCTGCCTCACTCTTATGTCAGAGGCCAGAATAAAACCCAAGCCTGGGACCAAGGCAACGTTTTCCCTCCGGAGACAAACTGGGGTCTTCCTGCGACAGGGATCCGAGGAAGGGCCAACGGTCACAGTGCCCTCGGCTCCTCTAGGTCTGTCCCTTCTGGGGAACGAGGGCTTGTATAGTGGTCCAATCTCACCCCTGCTCAGGAGGGGCAGGGAGGAGCCAGGCCCAAGCTATACAGCTCGGAGGGGGGCCAAGGTAAGGGCACTGACTCGATTTATCCACATTTGGATGCTGTTCAGAGAAGCAAGACACCCCATCTCCTGCAGGCAGACGGTGCTCAGACACCCGCCTTCCCCACACTCTTTATTTGCTGCTTCAACCACTCCTCCCTTTCAGACGGCCCCTGACAGCACACGTGGCCTCTTAGACTGAGGCCCCCAGCAGAGGGGAGGAGACGGGGCCCAGCTCCTTAAGGCCCCAAAGTACAGCTGGGGGATGGAGTCTTGCAAAAGGAGTCCCAAGTTCAAGATGGCTGGGATGGGGGTGCGAAGTCCTCAAGGGGGAGAGGAGCTCAGAAGTCCAAGGTGGTGGCTGAGTGGGGGAGCGGCCCCTAGAGGGAAGCCACAAGTCTTCAAGTCTGGGAAGAGAGATGCGCAGAAGACTCCACCATTTCCATCTCCAACGCCCAGCGCCCTGGGGCAGCATCTGAGGCTTTGTCTCCTTGGATTCCTGCTGAGCCGGTGGCCCTGGTCCTAGCATCAATTACACCATCTAAGCTTTGGCTTTGTCTGTCCAGCCTACAGTTGACAGCTGGCCCCTGGACTGCCTCACTGTCCCACCTCTGATCGTCTGCGTCCCTCAACAACACAGCCAATCCCCTGCGCTCAGTTCCTTCCGCTAAAGTACAGCAGTCTGTTTCCCTGGCTGGACCTGACTGAAGAGATGCCTAAAGAGAGCATCTTAAGAGTCTCAGACTGGACTCCTGGTTTTCCCCACAAGACCCAGGCTGCCCATCATGATAAACCACCCCAGTATCCGCCCACAGTTCAGGCCACAAAGTTGGAGTCATCCTGGACTCCCCCCTTCCTGATCCCAACATCCACGCCATCGTTACCTCCTCCCACACACATCCTGCACCTGTCCCTGACCCACGCCCCCACCACTGCCCTCGTCCTAATCATCGTCTCTTGCCCCTGGTCGCCTCTCTTGCCCCCTCCGAACCATCCTCCACACCACAGCTGAGTGACCTCTCGAATACGTACCTCGGATCCTTATGAAACTGTCCCTTGGCTTTCCCCGAGAATAAAATTCAAAACCCTATCTGGGACCCACACAGCCCTGGGTGATCCCATTGCTGTCTCCCAACTCATCTCTTCACACGCGGTCTGGGTCATGCTGGCCCTTTCTGATCCTTCCAATGAAGCAAGCGGGTCCCCACCTCAGGGCCTTGTCCTTACAGCTCCCTCTGCCTGAGACCCACTTTCTGAAGCTTTCCCCACGGCCAGTTCCTTCTCAGGCTTTAGGCCTAGCTTCTCGGAATGCCCAACAGACTCTACCTCGAAGTCCCTCACAGCCACATCCTGTTGATCCCTCATGGCACTTCTCCCTCCCGGAAATGACCTTCCTCGCCTTTGTGTGTGTGTATGTGCGTGTGTGCGCGCGTGTGTGTGCACAGGCACTGGTGCACACTGACTGTCTCCCTCCACTGGAACCTAAGTCCCACGAGATCAGGGAACTCGTCTGTCTCAGTTCCTGCTTTGCCCGGTGACTTCAACAGTGCCTGGCATACAGTAAGTATTCAATAAATAATTGTTGAATGCAGAACGTCAAATGCCCTGTCTGGGGAGCCCCGGGGAAAGGGAGCCAGAGGTCTCTGAGGACACGGTGTCCAGGGGCCACCAAGTGGAGGAGCCCTGAATCCAGGGTGGCGTTATCAGGGTACTCAGTCGCTGTGGCTGAGGACCACACCGTGGGTCAGAGGGACATGCTGGTGAGATTGTCCTGGCTCAACAGTCCCTTCCGGCCTGCACCAGCCCCGTGCCCACTGCCCCCAGCACCCCCACCACCCCCACAGTATTCGTGCAGCCTGTGCCGCAGCGTGACGAGGGCCGACCCTAGGCAGGCGCCGTTGGGTGCTTGGGGTCCTCCGGGCAGCTGGAGCAGCAGAGTGGCCACACCGGCCATGCCATCTTCAGTGGGTTCAAGGGTGATGGGCCCGGCTCGCAAGCCGGCAGTGGTGGCCGGGACGGCGGGCGGGCAGCAGCCTCCTCCCACAGGTCCCCAGGGCCCCCCGGCCCCCGTCAGCAGCAGGGGTGCCAAGAAGGGTTCCGAACGGCGGAAGGTGGGCGGTGGGAGCCCAGCCGGCTTCCAGGCAGGGGCCGGGGCGGCAGGGTCAGGCGGGAAGCAGACGGTGACCTTGGCAAAGGGGCGGCTGGCCATCTTGGTCATCTCTTGCAGATGCCGGCGCTGTTCCTGCCGCTGGTCCAGGGCCTGCTTGGCCTTCCAGAGGAGCACGCAGAGTGAGAGGAAGAGAAAGAAGCAGGAGAAGAAGACGGAGAAGAAGACAAATAGGTCGATGTGGGCCTGGTCCTGCCGGAAGAAGAGCAGGCCCTGCGAGTCAGCTGAACCATTGGCGCCGGGCCCGCTCGGGTCCCCCACGCCCAGCAGGAGTAGGTAAAAGCGGCTGGACTTGAGGGCATGGTGCTCGTGCGGGTAGGTGATGACCAGCCGGTCCCGCACACCACGAACCACGAGCACGGCCGACGGCTCTGTCACAGTCACGTAGGTGATCAGGCCCCGTGGCCACACCTCCCGCACCCTGGGCTCCGCCGGGGCACCTGGCCCGCTCCCGGCCCCGGGTCCTCCTGGATCCCCGGCCCCCCGGGGTCCGCCGTCAGCAGGGGGTGGGGGAGGCGGTGGGGGTGGAGGTGGCTGGATATGCACGGTGTGGACGCCCGTGTCAGGGGCCACACGGACCACGAAGGTGTCGTAGGAGGTGGAGACATAGAGGTCCACAGCACCGAAGGTCACATCCAGCGTCAGGCGGATGTCCACGTTGGTAAACTTGGGCTGCACGCCAAAGAGGACAGTGCGGCCGGGGCCCAGAGCCCGGCGCTTGGGTTCGTGGAAGCAGTTGGTCTGGGACGTGGGGTCCAGGCAGCACTCCTGCTCCACGGAAATGAGGCGGTAACACTGCTGGCCGCCCAGCGGGCTCCCGTGGAAGGACTCCCGGCACTTGGCGCACTGCGGGCAAGCGGTGGGGCGGGGGGGGGGGGGGGGGGGGGGGGGGGGTGGCAGTCAGGGCTGGCTCGGTGCCTGGCCACCCTTCACGCGGTACTGACGTTCAGTACCAACTGGTGAGCAGTCACTGCCCCAGGCTGTCTCAGTCCCCAGCAGCTTCCTTGTGACTGCTCCCCCTGCCCCCACACCTCCCCGACACAGTGTGGAGGCCACCAGGACCCTACACTCTAGCACTGCTGTCCCTGGTGTCACCCCATGACCACAGCACCCTGATGTGGAGGCCTCTGGAACTCTGAGGCACAGTGATGAAGAGCTCTGCTGAACCTGGCTCTACCCCCTCACTGCCTGTGTGGCCTCAGACTAATGACTTGACCTCGCTGAATTTGAGATCCTTCCTCCTTACACAGGCAGTAAACAGAGCTCGCTCATGGGACTGCCGAAGCCACGGGCACAGCACGGGGCTGGGCCAGCCTCACCTGCCAGCCTTGCTGTTTCCGTAGGACGTTAGGTACGTCCTACCTCAGGGCCTTTGCACTGGGTGATCTATTGCCTGGCTGACTCTCTACTCACCCACAATCCCCATATCTGCCTGTCCTGACTTCCATCAGGTCTTTTCTCAAGTGTCACCTTCTCACGAAGGCTTTCCTTGGTCATCGTATCTACTATTCCCACTCCACAACACTGGCCCTCCTTTCTCCTTACTGCTCATTGCTAACAAACTGTGCATCCGACTTCTTCATTTGTTTGTCGCTGGACTCCTTAACGGGAAAGTAAATTTCCTGAGGACAGAACCTCTTGCCCGTTTTGTTCCCCGCTGCGTCCTAATGCCTCACACACTGCCTGGCACACTCATCCCAACTGTCAGGTGCTCAGTAAATATGTGTTGAATGAGTGAGTGGACCTCTGAGGGCGCGGGGCCCTTGGCTTATCTGCAACTCGCTTCTCCAGCCGCACCTGGTACTTGTAGCAGTCTCGGCGGTCACTGGGCGAACTACCCTGGCACGTGCCCGTCTCTGTATTGTTCTGACACGGGCAGCCCGTCCCGTCCTGCTCGTTACATGTATCTGCATGGCCGTTGCACTGGCATCTGAGGAAGGGGGAGAAGACAGGGGTCAGGGGGCTCCCCTGACCTACCGGGATCCAGGCTGGATGCTGCCTACGTGAGCTCCGATGTGAGCCACAGGCCAGGAGAGGAGACGGGGGCTCACAAATGGTGAAGCCATTTGCCCAAGGCCACAGAGCCAGTAAGTGGCAAGGCCAGGATTTGGAGCCAGGTTGGAATGACTCCAGAGTCTGCTGACCATTCAGAAGAAAGGGCTGGAACGGGAGGCTGTCCTGAGGCCTCACCCTCGGCAGCTCTCTGCCTGCCAGTCTCCACGGGGTGGTGCTCTGCGGCCTGGCCTGTGTGTCAACACTGGCCTCTGAGGCCGGGGGTCTCCCACCTGGGTCTGGCTCATCGCCCCCAACGCTGCCTCAGCCTGGGGCCTCCCTGAGGATATCGTCCGCTTCTGATTGAGGGCGGAGAACTGGGGAGGGGAGTCTGGCTCCCAGAGCTATTCCCAGTGAGCAGGGCAAGGGTCCCAGGCCCCCCTTCTTCTCACTTGGTACACTTCCCATCCAGGAGGAAGTAGCCGTGCAGGCAGCTCTCGCATTTGTCCCCATAACTGTTATTCTGGCAGTTCACACACACAGCCTCGTCTTCACTAGGCCCCTCTGTCACCCAGTTTTCAATCTGACCAAAGACAGACAGAGTGATCACAAAAAGGCCTGGACTACCCCCTCCTCCCCGAGACCTGGCCCAGAAGCCCTGGGCTCCAGCCTTTTTACCTCCTCTGGATCCAGCGAGTACTTCTCTGGTTCCCTCCTGGCCATTTCAAGCTCCTTCCTGGAGACGCAGACGTGGCTATTGCCACGACAGAAGGCGTGGCAGGGCCGGCAGGTCCCGCCCCCCACAGCCGAGCCCACGAACAGAGGGAGGCACTGCTCGCAGTGGCTGCCCTGGAAACCAGTGACAGGGTGGTCAGAGTTGGTGATCAGTTGGGGGGGGGGACACTCTGAGAGCACCATGAGGGTGCAGCAGGGGCTCAGGCACTCGGTTGGGGCAATCCCGGCCTTTCAGCGACTTAGCTGCCTGCCTTCACTTGCACACCTCCCGTGACGGGGTGGAGGGTGGCTGAGTTCGTGCCCCTCCAGCCCGCAGTGGGGAGCTCAGAAAGCCCTTCTCTACACCATCCTAAATCCTCCTGCACGTGACCAGCCTCGCCAGCCCAGCACTGACTCTGTCCATGATGCTGGGGTAGCCCCTCTCTGACACAAATTCAGACAGCGTCCCCAGAATCTCCTCACACCTCCCTGGGTTAGGGCTAGGCCTCCTCCTCCCTGGGCCCGGCTTATCAGGGCTTGGGAGGAGGCTCAAGATGCCTGAGCGAGAGCTGAAAGCAGAGAAGGCCCTGTCCCTGGGGGGAGGGCCTGAGACCCCGGGAGGCCCACCTTGGTGTGGTTGCGGCACAGCAGGCAATGGTCACGGGCGCCCACACCCGCGCATTCGCTGTGGCGGTTGCAGCGACACTCTGTGGAGCAGTTGCGGCCAACAAAGCCGAAGTGGCAGCGGCAGTGGTCGGGCTCCACACATGAGCCATTCACGCAGCCCTGGGCGCACACCGGGCGGCACAGCCCAGTCATGCTGCAGGGGCGGAAGGCAGAGGGTCCGGGCGGAGCAGGGGGCTTCGTGGCTCCCGCCGGCCCAACACCCGCTACACTGCCCTCAACCGGTTGCTCACGCCTGGTCTGTTCCATGGTCCTCGTCCAGGGTCCAGCCTGCCACCCTCTTCCCAGGGTGCCCCATTTAACTCACCAACCCCTCCCCTCCACGACTGAGCCCCCACCTTCACCGCGTCCCGGATGAGTCCCACCACCTCACGCCCACTCTGGTTCCTGCCTCACCCTCTGCTGCTCCCACCCCACAGGTGCCTGGGCCACCGCCCTCGCCCCCTCACTTGTCCATGGTGTAGCCCGCCTTGCAGCTGCACTCGTAACCGTGTGGCCGGTCGTGGCAGTTCTGTGTCTCATTGCAGTCGTGATGTCCGTTTGCACACTCGTCTTCAGGGGGACAGGACAGGAAGGCCCAGGAGGCCCCAGGTCGCCCGCATGTCAGCCCTGGCCCGGGGATACAGAGCTTCACCTGGGTGCCACCCAGGCCCTCGCTCCACCTGTCCCTGATCCCCACCTCTGAGACAGCCTCCAGCGCCCCCCACATTCTCTGTGCCAGACCCCCAGCCAAGGGTCAGTCCCCCTCACCCCACGTCCTAACCCATCTCACCGTCACGGGGACCGCTGAGTCCACCCTCCAGGCAGCGGCCACCCCCATCTTGGCCCCCCCAGGCACACCAGCCACAGTGGGGGCGCCGCAGGCACAGGGCGCACTGGGTCGCCTGAGCACAGCCCAGGGAGCAGCTCTCGGGTCCCCGGAGCAGCCGCCCACAGCCTCCGGCCATACATCGCAGGGGCAGGTAGGAGGGGCTCAGACACTGTATGGGGGAGGGGAAATGAGAAATGAGGTGGGGGGTGAGCAAGAGGACCAAACACATCCTGGGTATCCTCCCCAACTACACCCCTTCCTCAGAGCTCTCGCCCCTCTCTGGTCACAGTCTATGGACCGAAGCGGACACCAGCTGAGGTCATCACATTGTTCCCGTCAAGCATTTGCAACTAGGAGTCCACACGGGAAGTCAGGGTAGGGGCAACCTTGAAACTAGAAGATTCTGGAGACTGGGGCTGGCAGGGACATTTGAATGAGCAAATCACAGCAAATGAAGAGACCAGAGGGGCAGGAAAACAGAGCAGATGCAGAAGGAAGCACTGATGAGGACCACACACCCAAAGCCGGGGTGGGCAGCTTTCCAGGCTCCGTCTCCAATACGGCCTTGGCTGCATTTTCCACCCTGGGCTCCTAGAGGTACCACTGTGTTAGTGTGACTGGCCGCGGCAGTCTACCCACCCGGCTTAGTGGACACGGCTGTTTCTTACAACCAAAGGAAGGCAACAATCCCAAGTGGAGATAGAAACTAGTGACGGGAGGGGCGCCTGGGTGGCGCAGTCGGTTAAGCATCCGACTTCAGCCAGGTCACGATCTCGCGGTCCGTGAGTTCGAGCCCCGCGTCAGGCTCTGGGCTGATGGCTCAGAGCCTGGAGCCTGTTTCCGATTCTGTGTCTCCCTCTCTCTCTGCGCCTCCCCCGTTCATGCTCTGTCTCTCTCTGTCCCAAAAATAAATAAACGTTGAAAAAAAAAAAAAAAA